AAGACTTTAAAATATTATTGCTCAATTCAATACCATTGAGCTTGATCTTGAAGAAGTTTCTTCAGGTTCACCAGAGTCACCAGAATGAATTACTTGCAAACGGCGAATCCTTACGACACAGAATTCAGCGTGATCGACACAGACATTGTCAAGAAGCCACAAAATGAAACTGGAAAAGTTGGGCCACTCTCAGCAGTAGAGGAAATGCAGCATGCCGAGCTGATGAAAAAGGCTTCGAAAGTAGTCCGGAAATTGGTATGTTTCTATTTCAAATTTCTTAAGGCAAACAAATTAATGAGCTGTCATAGACTTCAAGGGCTCCAGGAAGCGGCCGCAAGGTTTTTCTTGCTCGACATGGTGAAAGAATTGACGAAGTGTTTCCTGGGTGGGAAAGAACTTCGTTTACAGACTTTTGGGATTATAAACCAAGCGATCTCAACATGCCGATGACTCTACCATCAAGGATCAACGGGCCGAGAGATTTTATCAATGACCCTCCATTGACTGAGTTCGGATACGTCACTGCGCAGATGATCGGACGCGGCGCAAGACTGTCAGAGATTATCTTCCACTACGTGTATTGTAGCCCTGCGTTCCGATGTATTCAAAGCGCCCATGGGTTCCTCAAAGCGTTCCCAGAGACCAAAACGAAGATTCGTATAGAACCTGGCCTTTTCGAATTCATGGCAGATTACAAAAACTCCACTCTGACGTGGATGACGACAGAACAGATTGTTTCTCTAGGCTATGAAATCGATGTGGCATACACTCCGATCATAAGCAGAGACGATATCAGAGGCAGAGTCAATGAATCAATAGAAGAATTCTACCAACGCGCGGCCAAGGTAAGCTGTTCAATGTGTGAGTGAAGCGTCTTCATCTTCATCTTCTATGGTCGCTTCTCCTTTTCGATAGCAGAGACAGACGCGTCAGACAGAGTTGCCAACGTTCCTGACCTTGTGCTGGAGTGTGAGCCTTTCCACAAGACAACCGGAGTCTACAGCGGGCTTTCTTATATATTTGCAGCAGGTCAATCTTGGCCGTTCTCTGGGCCTTCTGCCGTCACATTCTCAAGAAACAGTTGCTTAGCCTTCCTTTTCGGAGGCATTCGCAACACATGCCCAAACCATCGCAGCTGTCATTACCCAATTTGGAGAAGCAACGGCTGTACACCAACGCTCATCCGAATGTCACTATTCCGACCATGTCGAGACGCGTAGGGGCAGCGACTCGTTTAAGAAGGCCCATTTCAGCAGCTTATACCCGGGTTCGAAGTTTTTCAGTGATAGTCCACGATTCATGACCGTAGGTAAGTATGGGGATAAAGGTCGACTTGAATTTGAGACCTTAGTCTTCAGAATCAGCACTGCATTAGTCATGATGGATCGGACTACTTCACGCAGAACGCTGCTGGCTACTCCAATTCGCCGGTCGATCTCTTCCTCCAATTTTCCATCACTAATAATTGCAATCCATCACTCTTGGACGCAAATCCGAGGTACTTTAACTTCTCCACCCGCTTCACTGCCACTCGGTTAATCTGAAGAGAGCAACGGGCAGGAGAACGAGGAAGCACGAGTCTTTTCGTTTCAGATGCGTTAT